GGGATGGAGCTTAACAAAGTTTGAGAATGAAAATTACCTTGATCTACTTTCAAAGTCACAGGGGTCAAATGTGTCAAAAGCTTCAAATTAATTCTTCTGAAGAACTGAGAGGTATAGAATCTTTATATTTGATTGATGGCTTCCTAGGATAGAGCCCGACAAAGTTTGAGGAAGGAAATGACCTTGACCTTCTTTCAAGGTCACAGGGGTCAAATGTGTCAGACACTTCAAACGACTTCTTCTGAACAACTGAAAGGTATAGAATCTTTATATTTGGCTTGTAGCTTCCTAGGAAAGCCCAACAAAGTTTGAGAATGTAAATGACCTTTACCTACTTTTAAGGTCACATGAGGCAGATATGTCAACCACTTCAAATGACTTCTTCTGAAGAACTGGAAGTTATAGAACCTTAATATTCGACTGGTTATTTCCTGGGAAAGAGCCCAACAAAGTTTGAGAATGTACATGACCTTTACCTACTTTTAAGGTCACATCAGGCAGATATGTCAAACACTTCAATTGACTTCTTCTGAAGAACTGGAAGTTATAGAACCTTAATATTCGACTGGTTATTTCCTGGGAAAGAGCCCTACAAAGTTTGAGAACGAAAATGACCTTGACCTTCTTTCAAGGGCACAGGGGTCAAATGTGTCAGACACCTCAAACGACTTCTTCTGAAGAACTGGAAGTTATAGAACCTTAATATTCGTCTGGTTATTTCCTGGGAAAGAGCCCTACAAAGTTTGAGAACGAAAATGACTTTGACCTATTTTAAATGTCACAGGGGTCAAATATGTTAAAATCTTCAAACAGCTTCTTCTCAATAACCAAATGGCCAAGGGTACGGATATTGGGCCTGTAGCATGCTGGGATGAAGTGCTACCAAGTTTGTTCTTCTATATGTCCTTGACCCACTTTCAAGGTCACAGGGGTTGAAATATGTTAAAATCTTCAAACAGCTTCTTCTCAATAACCAAAAGTCCCAGTGTAATGATATTGGGCCTGTAGCAACCCGGGATAAAGGGCTACCAAGATTGTTCAAATGAATGACCTGACCAACTTTCAAGGGCATTGGGGTCAGATGTCTTAAATCTTCAAACAGCTTCTTCTCAATAACCAAAAGTCCCAGTGTACTGATATTGGGCCTGTAGCAACCCGGGATAAAGGGCTACCAAGTTTGTTCAAATGAATGACCTTGACCAACTTTCAAGGACACAGGGGTCTAATGTCGTGAAATCTTCAAACAACTTCTTCTCAATAACCAAAAGGCCCAGGGTACTGATATTTGCCCTGTAGCATGCTGGGATAAAGGTCTATCAAGTTTATTCAAATGAATGACATTGACCAACTTTCGAGGTCACAGGGGTCAAATATTGTAAAATCTTCAAGAGACTTCTTCTCAATAACCAAAAGGCCCTGGGTACTGATATTGGGCCTGTAGCATGCTTGGATGAAGGACTATCAAGTTTGTTCAACTGAATGACCTTGACCAACTTTCAAGGTCACAGGGTCAAATGTCGTAAAAGCAAAAGGGCCAGGGTATTGAAATTGGGCCTGTAGCATGCTGGGATGAAGGACTACCATGTTAGTTCAAATGAATGACCTTGATCCACTTTCAACCTAATGTCCTTGTTCAACAATCAAGGTCAGAGGCGTCATATGTTTAAATCTTTTAATAGGTTCTTATGAAATCTTAAGATTACAAGTGTTAGATTAATAACAGGTGAGCGATGCAGTCCCATTGGGCCTCTTGTTGTATATTTTTGACGTGTTTGGGACTGAACTTTTCTCACACAATTTCTTGGTTAAAGTTTTGGTGCAAGTTTCTTCAGTGTATACAGTTTAGTCAGATCATTTGTTATTGTCCTCATTTTTGGCATGGATGTTCATGTGGGGTCTAACAAGGACAATATGGATTTAATTTTGGAAAATCATTACCAAGTCCAAGAATATTTTGGCCAAGTCTTTCCAATGGTCTGATAATCAAGATGGCAGATACTGAATTTGTCCTACATTTCCCATTCATCTTTGGATCCAGTGAAGAAGAATTGCCGATAGTTCATCATTGCCATAACATTAACAATACTGTGTATGAATATTATGCATTATTCAAAGAAACAGGAATCATGGTATATTCTGAAAGTATTTCTGGTTCAGTACATTTATATTAACTGTTGTGTCACCTTGGAGACAACCACTGTTTTGGGCTACATTCCACTAACAACCATCATCATAATACAGTCAATTCCTACTGCAGGTAACTATGAAGGTGTAAGCATCCACATACAAAGTCAGAATACAACTCCTATTCATGTCATTATCATTTTTCTACTATTGTGAGAATTTGTGGTTTAATTGCCAGTTTCTACCTGCTGGACTGTTTTACCTCCATCAATAAAACTGGCATGTCTATGAAACTAATATATAATTTGTTTGTTTCCTGTTTGCCTACCATCCCCAATTCAAAGATATTGAAAAAGGGTTAAATACTGAACAATAAAAATACGTACATTACACATTGCCAGAATCAACCCAACATGCAACTTTTTTAAAAATTCTGAATTAAGACAATCGCTCTTTTCACGAAGATAATTTTAAGCACAAATTTAGAATCTACTCCGATTAAATATGTATATATGTAGCCAATTATGGTAGACATGTCCCTATAAACCCACACGTCAAATCAAATTAAGGGGAGTCAAAAACATACTCTCAAGGGTCTACTGCATGCCCTGATTAAGAGGCAGTAGGCAGTACATTAGCAAAGAACCAATTACATAAATGTGAACATTACAGTGATGACAATCACACATGGTAACAAAAGCATCAGTGCGAGCATTTTTATCACATAGACATGACACTGGCTACCAGGTACTTTAAGTATCAAACAAACAAAAATTCATTGGATAGGGCCAGATGGGTGTATTATGCATCCGTTTGTGGTGCTCTTGTTAAACTTTACATGATGATTTCCCTTGGGGCCCTTGTTCTCATTCCCCAATTTTCAAAATGGCCGCTAATCAGCCATCATTAATTACAGCTTAATTATCATTAGCAAATTTTACATCTCTCAGCCGTTTTGTTATGACATAACGAAACAAAGCTGCTCAGATTCAAATAAGAGGTCAATTAACCAAACATTAAGGTCAAAGGTCAATGTCAAATTTTACGTCTTTACCTCACGGTCAACCTCAAATTTTACATCTCTTCACTGTTAAACATTTTATGACATTATGAAACAAAGTTGGTCAGAATCAAACAAGGTATTAATTGACTAAACATCAAGGTCATCGGATAAAAGGTCAAGGTCAAATTTTACATCTCTTAACTACTAAACATTTTCTTATGACATTATTAAGCAAAGTTGTAACTGACCAAATCTCAAGGTCTTTAGATCAAATGTCGAGGGCAAATTTTCCATCTCCTAACTGTTAAACTATAGGGTTCAGATACGTTATAGGCGGGGGCCCTTCCCCAAAATGTCATTGTTCTTGTTTCCATAAAGCTCTGCTGTGAATAAATACAGCCCAAGAACACTGCCAACTGCTTCTCCAAAGTAATAAATCCTCCTTAGTTCCCAACACTGAATTTTTTTTTGGTGTTATGCAGTGTCCATCATCCATCCATCAGTCCATCAGTTGCTTTAAAATGCTGCTACTGAAGAACGAGTGAGTGGGTTTTAACTGAATTTAGTCAAGAGCCTTGTTGGACTCAAAGTGGCCTCTGGATCCAACCAGAGAAATTTTATCTATAGTCAGAATTTCCACACTTTAATCATATACACTTAAATTGCTAGATGAAAACGCTCATACTACCAGGATTGGTCACTGGCTCACCCACATCCCTGTTGCCTTGGTCGTTGAGGCGTAACATAATTGGTTAAGATTCTCATCCTATGATTGATTCAATTGATGAGCAAGTTATTCTCAAGGATAACTTCCGTGCTATTTCAGTTAATTACCATTCACCAAACTTGTTACGAGTCTATGGAAGGTGGAATTTTGTAGTCACTGAAATTAGGTCTTGATTCCCCGATTGAATGTCAAAAGGTATGGGGTTACCTGCCCGACTACAAGTGTTTTCTCTGGGAACTCTGTTAGTACCCATGGGTGATATAATCCCGACCAACAAGAGTGTGATTATATATTTATATAAGCTGATATAACTTCTTTCTGTAATGGTTGTAAAATAAATAAACTTCACATAAATCCTAGCTTTGCAATGAGTTTTAATGGGTTGGTATGTGATGAACATCTGTTGTCTCTTCTCCATGGTCCTCTTGACTGTTTTCTGATGTGGGGGTTTACATGTCTAATGGTGTCCCATTGCTCTTGGTTGCTCATTCAGCACAATTAAATATTTATATGCAGATTACACATCATACAAAATTGTAGTCGTTTTTTTAATGCTGACCAAATGAATATATTTTATTGATGATTGTTCTTTGTCGTGTATATTTTTATGTAATTGTTGAATGTTGCCTCGAAGAAAAGGTCCATATGGTCAACATTTTTGCTTATGTATGCTTATTTATCAATTTCAAACTTTGTTTTATATAAATAGGAGTAATGTCAATCCAACAACCATTGTATTGTATAGGACCGTGTCTGGATTGTATCATACTACATACCAAGCCTAGGAATTAAGCTAGTAGAAACTTTCCATTTTTCAATAATCTGTGATTTGAATCATAACCTACAACATTTAGGGAAAGCATAATGACTGATTTGTCTGTTGTCAGTGTAATGTGACCAGGTGAAATACTGTGCTGGGTTCTTTAAATCAGCTTGATATTTCATACTCTTAAGCAGACATCAGATCCCTGCTATTGCCAGGAAGAAATACACTACCATACAATATACTGCCTCAAGCACAATGATTACAAGCATGCAGGCACATGATAATAGAACTTAAGCCCAACATGCCTTTAAATAACAAAATACAAAACAACAGACAATGTTCCATTGTCATTGTAATAACAAAATATAAAAAGACTGGACTGACATTGTCACATTTATTGAGTACTTTTTCATCAAGTTTAACTGACAAGTTGGATGTGGTGAAATACATGAACAATAGCGAAATTCAGCAACACAATACAATAATTTGTTTTGGAATAACTACAAACAATAGAGAAATTGGCTTCTGATCCATTCTTCCTTGTTCGATCAATGTCCATACCTATAAAGAAACAAGAAAATTGAGACATATTTTCAATATAACTTACTTTTTAAGGATCCCTGTACATGTATCACTACTAGAAACTGTAACTATGCATAGGAAACCATTAAATCTAGAGGAAACCATACCCTGTGGAACTTTAATGAGAAATTTTATAAAGATCCAATGAAGAAAAATAACAAACTAATGTGTTGTGAAGGTAAAGATGCAATGGGACCAGTCCAGGATTCAAACCTTGGGAATCCATGCGCTCGAGGGCTTGAATCTGGTTCAGATGTACAGGGTTATCCAAAATGAAATTAAGGGGAGATTACTGTATGCACAAAAACTGCAGTGGAATTCTCTAATATTTTGCTTGCAGTTCATTTTATTAGCATTGTTCGGCAAGTTTCAAAAGCAACCACTAGATATTATATATAAGTATATATAACTTCTAGTTTATGTTGCTTTATCTTCACAAAACGTTTACATAGCATGCATTTTAGATTAGATTATCACATGATAGAAGATTCCTTGTCAGTAACTAATAATCTGTTAAGTCGAGGTGTGGAATGAGACTACCATGGGTTACCAAAGTGCAGAGCTACCACACAATATTTCTTATTTTTTTATATCGAGCCTCATGTAATTTCAGACAAAATTGTATTTACATGGTACATATATCAGAACATTCTATCACTACAGGTAAAACTTACTTCTGAAATTCCCATTCCCTATTGTCCAGTGGACACACCTGTCTGGTTTTTAGCCATCGAGAAATGCAGTGGAAATGAAATGCATGCTGAAAGAAAAGGAAGACAACTCAGACAAATGCCATAAACAGGGATAAGGTTTGCTTGATATTGTGGTCACATGCTCATGAAATGTGGTAAATCACACAAATGACTTATACTGAAATTTCGCTTTTTGTTATACATGTACCAATGATAGCAGTGATATACCCTCATTTCAAATTATGAGTATCTTGACACATTTATGCTAAACAATTGCATGTGCATTACAAATGATATTTAGCTTGGCCCTCTGCTAACTCCCAGACAACACAGCGCTGCTGATGGTACTCACATTACAGATATCACATACCACTGGGTTATTTAATAATATATTACGATAGTCATGTTGACATTTACCAGGTTACAAGCCATTTCCAAGGCAACACTGTCACAGCACTGTGATTGTCACATCCCCAAACGCAATACATTAATTTGTCACTCAAACTCCTAACTACAGGAACTGCAGCACTATGATACTCATAATCACATCCCTATTACGCTGGCAACAGAGCACAGTTATACCCAGATCCCCAAGGCAACACAGCACTGTGATTGTCACATCCCCAGAGGCAATACATTACTATTATACTAACATCCCTGATCCCAGGCACTGCAGCACTATGCTACTCATATTCTGAAGCACTCTGACACTCACAACCCTATTCCGCTGGCAACAGATCACGTATACTTACATTACAGACCCCCCAGGCTACAGTGCACTCCTCACTAGTGGCAGAGGCCTGGTTGGCCTGACATTCTATACACAGGTCCATGATGTGATTTCGGCAAATAGCACAGTTATCCACAACAATATCTGGAGATAAAAATTACAAATTGTGCAAGCTTTCTTTAAATTACATTTATATAACATTGTATATTGTGTTCCTAAACAAGAATAACTTTTTGAACTAAGATTATTTTTAGTTCTAGTCAAAAATAGGTCCATTTCCCTGTGAGGATCATCTGTTTGTACTTAGCTTGGTAAGTTATTTGAATACTGGTGATACCTTGGTGATATCTTGTCCCACCACAAGGACGTTGTCCAAGAGTCAGAACGTTTCTTAACAAAAATTTCTAAAAAACATTTTTGTCTGTTTAAGGTTAAAATGTACTTAATAACAAACACACCTGTACAAAGTGTGTCATAAGTTAGGATCTTATCAAGAGCAATGGGACACCATTAGACATGTAAACCCCACACCAGAAAACAGTCAAGAGGACCATGGAGATGAGACAACAGATATTCATCACATACCAAAATTTCCTCATCAGTGCTGATTCATTATGATGTGTAAGTAAATGTAATAACAAATCATGTAATCATGTTAAAAAAAATATAAAAAAATATTTCATTATCCCTCTAAACAAAAGACAAATATATCATTAACATTACAAATGTGTATATCATACTCCAAAGTTAATTGGTGTATAGGATTTATAGTTATCAGCTCAAAACACTCACCCCATGCCCACAATGCTACAGCACTCCACTGGAAAAAGAGAGAGAATATAATAGTTACAATACTTTTCAGATTTATCTAAAACACAACATCATGTTTAACAATGGTCAGCAGTAAGGCTTCACAAATTCTGTATAAATTACATGTATTGCATGCTATAGAACAGACTTTGAGTAACAGTGGTATACATGTATATACATGTAAAATAAGAACTTTTGTACACATATACAGAATAACTCAGATAATTATATTTTGCCATTACTGACTCACAAGCTTAAGTATTTGATCAGTTTTCATGTTAAAATGTACATATATACCTGGTATGTTTATTCATTGATTAGGAAGGATATAAATGTATGTAAGATATTTATAGCAGTAAATCAAAATGGCCAATCAGAATTTTGCAATTTTAGAAAAAAGTCTATGCCATGAACAATGTTAATTTTACAAAAAATACCCTGACACTCCCACTAACACTGTTTATCACTGAATACGTAAAAGGAACAAAGGGGAATACAAATACCAAGAAATACTAAGTCTTGAGTAATGATCCTAATCAACAAAACTATACATGTAGATACAGGTTTAAAGACATGTAATTATAATAATATACATGTAGTAACATAAATTGTTTTCTCATTTGCAATAGAGAATCATTGTCTGGACAAAACACTGTCCCTCTAACATTGAACCAACTTTGCTAAAGCCTTCGATTGTGTAATAGGATGAGGAATAGTGATCAAGATAGTGCCGTCGCTGGGACTCGAACCCGCGACCCTTGGCTCTCCAGCCCGATGCTCTTCCGCTTAGCTAAAGGGAAATTCCCTACAGCCGACGCTTGTAAGGCAACCTAATTAATCCACATCGTTTACACTATTCTCATCAATATCTCAACAGCAATGTGGAGGTTCTCAAGTCATTCTTACCAGACGAGACTATAGTACTATATCCATCATCCAGCTGCTGAAATATTAGTGTTGGGAATCGGTTGAGATTTCAACATTGATGATCGGATATAATCGGTTAGTGTTTTTTTTTAACAATGATATGGCTTTTCCTTTTGTTAATTATAATATATATTACTAATGAAATTTCAACTTTTCCGCTTAGTTTTGTATCTTTATTTTTTATCAAACCATTTCAACGTAACAATCTTTATTGATGAACAGTTATCATTTATAATTTTACAATTAATTATATTTAAATAGCATGATTGGTAAGAAGTTATAGTTAAGAGTAAAATGACATAGAACTCCCATTCTCAGTGAAAATGAAAGTAGAACTCGCACTTCCGGTTTTGGAAACAATCATCGATGTTGACATCTCATAATCGATTGTCGGGAATCGGTTGCTTTTCCGATTAGATATCGATTATAATCGATCATCGTGACATCACTATGAAATATTTTGTCAAATTCACAAATAATTAGATGTGGGATTTTAAATTTGCATGAGGGGAAATTCCGTCTTTCAGAGTTATTATCAAGCAATTAAGCGACTAGAAGGTTCACCACTGTGAATAATCCATCTAAGACAATATGAAGAATTGGTAACCAGTCTGTTATACTGCATAATTGAATTGATGCCAGGTGAAAGTGAAAGAATAACAGACAGGCTGTTGATCGATATAACAACAAGGTGTTATTTTGAGATAATATAGGAATGGTGGTGTTGTTGAAAGTACATATTATTGCAAACTTTAGACAAGTGAAAAAGCATGGATTATTTGCATCATTAGAGATAATTGAAGGTACTGAAACCTAGGAGCTTTCATTGGCTAGTGGATACATATAAATACAAGTCACCAACTGACCTTATCATGATGGCTGTCCAACTCAGGAGGATAGTTACAGTAAGTTAATTTGCATGTCAGATACATCATACTTTTAAGTAGAACTTGTGGAAAAAAAGGAGACCTGAGAGATTAGACTATAACAATAGACTTTGGGACTGAAGCAAAGATAATTAGAAGAGAGAAGGTCCGTTGGAAATAGAGGGCTGTGTTTGAAACGTACATGGAAGAAGATGTAGATATATCAATATATCTGTGTCAGAAACAAAGAAGTAGATATTGATGAATTATTACACTGAATTTGATTTGAGCCATTCATTATTCTCGAAACTACAATGTATAAAGTATGTAAAACAAGCCATTCAAATTGATATCTCTAGCCTGTTTTCTCTTTGACCATCAATGCACATGTCAAGTTTGGTTGGTGTAGCACTTATAGTTTCAGAGATAATAATTTAAACGCAAAAACTTAATGTTGAATGATCATTGATGGAGATGCTGACAAAGACAATGGTCCATGAAAGGTAGGCTGCATCCATCATTTGATGCAGGGGTTGAGATGTACTACTTAAGATACATCTATGGTCCAAGTCTGGTTGCTGTAGCACTCATAGTTTCAGAGAGACTTAAAGCAAAAAATTAATGTTGACACCACCACCATCACCGAAAAAGTTAGTCCCCCTTTCCGCAACTTTGTGGTGGCGGAACAAAAATAGTGGGCATATTTCCCTCCTGCAAAAGAGCTTGTCCTCAAGTTTTCTAACACCCTATGGCCCTTATAATTATATATACTTAACTTAAGTCACATTTTCCCGAAGTGCCTCCACTAGGGGTTGAAACTTGGACTATAAAGTGCAAAGCTCTACCAAGTCAGCTAATTATATAAAGGTGAATTCCCTAGATCTAGCACAGGTACTAGCCTTGTCTGTCAATACACGTAAACCTATAATTTATCCTTGATTATATTATCGGTGTATTCTAATTGACAGACAAGGCTAGTACCTGTGGATCTAGCAGTCAGTTAGTTCGCCTTTTGACAATTGCATTATATGATATAGTTATTATATTAGAAATTTATAAAATTTCATCTTATTCTGTATATTCCGGACTGTCAGTAAAGCTGGACTTTTCTTTCTCTGTAAACAAGGATATTCCCTCAAATGAAGGACAGTACCTCATATGAGGAATATTCCCCATCCTGTGTGGAAAAAATAGTAATAACGAATCCCTACTAATCATATAATTAAGTACACATCAGGATAAAGGTAATGTGCGTACTGTATGTCTGTTATTATCTATCAATGTATCAACTCTTATATTGGGCCAGATGCAACTTGGGCTACCTATGAGCACAGGAGCCTGAAATTCTGTCAATAATGAATAATAATAGTTAACCTATAATATGCTTAAAAAATAGACAGGAGTGCATATTATTGGTATTTTTTGTATTACTATTATTATTCATTTTTGACAGACCTTCAGGCTCCTGTGCTATGAGCATGAGTCGTAAGACTATTTTTAGGTTTCTATTTATAACACAAAGCTACATACATGTGAAAATAGCAAAATATAATGGACAATAATTGTTACTGTGAAGATATGCCGAACAAACATGTATCTAAATTATGTTTAGTTTAGAAATTCAATGTTAAGTTGACATTACATCTTCGTTACCTTTTTTACTTCGAAGCGTTTCTTTCCTGACTTATCGACGCCATTTCCTGATCCTTCCCCCAGTTCTGAATCGTCAACGTCCATAGCCGCTGCCATTTTCTTGAATGAAATATTACAAGTTCCTGTTGACACTGATCAATGCTTGAAGCAATGTAAAATCCTTACAGGATATGACTTCCGAAAATCAAGGGGATGGACTCGGTAATTCTAAAAACATTCCGAATAAGACAAAAAAACAAAATAAAAATACAATCGGAACAAAATAAGTGTATATATTTATATTTCAATTAAAAACTGATAAAGTGATATGGAGATGAGTTTTTCTGTCAATTAAAAATATTATGTTTGATTTAATTATGTTGAGAAAATAAATATTCAATGAGACAAATGCAAATATCTAAACCATTTTGGATGTTTTTATAATCTGAATTCTGTATTAAACCGTAGAAACATGTCGTTCCTCGGTGGCATCGGTGGTGGAGGGTCTGCGGCCCCAAATAAAGCTCACGATCATGCGTCTGGAGATGGGAAATGCTGTCAAGGCAAAGAGCCAGAAAGCAAAGACCATCCTATATTTAATGCAGTCAAGTCTGGGTAAGAATCCGCTTTTGGAATCCCTAAAAATCGAGATGGAGGAAGAGGATTTGTCATGGTGGTCACGCCTGTACCGGCACGTCTGGCATTTGTTTACAGTGATTAGCTTGAATACCTCCACTAATATCAAGATCAATGTGTTCCCTTATCATCACATTGCATTATGCCCATGTGTAAACCACAGGTTCGTATGTCGCACACACACGTGTGCGGTGCAAAGGTCAATAGGTAATGTTTGTTATGACTGTTGCTATAGTAGTATTACTATATAGTAAATTTTACAATGAATTCTAGTCGTTTCGGCATATATACTGAACTGAAAATTTGGGCGAACTGGTTTGGGGCGAAACATATGTAATTCATAAAATGCTAGAAGTGCCCTCCTGAGTCCTGTTAACCCAGGTCCTGGACAGTTTGCTGCATCTAGAATATTTTGGATGCTTTCGTAAATTGAGGTTGAGGAGACCTCGCTGGTAGGGGGGCCCCAACCCTTGGAAAGCTTGACTTGCAGCATTGCACAACGATTTCAAATTTCAAGTTTTCCATGCCTTTCTAGAAACTGTAATGCAAAGATCTGTCAGTATATTTGTTTTATTTTGATATCTTTGAAAATTAACTATGTAAAAATATTCTATAATTTGCTACTATATTAATTATCGAATATGATACACACATCCTATTCTGTGCTATCTGAACCTTTACCGGATTGATTTTCTTCATTTTTTAGATTATTTTTCTTCCATTTTTAAAGGACCCCATTGGAAATAAGCCACTTAGTGGCCTTTATGGGCAATCCTAGGTAAATGGCAATCACCACCACTCCTATTATGTGATCTATTTATTTATAAATACCTTCATTTACTAAAATAGTCTGTCTCATTTTATAGTAATATCTTCCTTTTTTTACAGTGTATCAGACTTGATTTTTATGCACTGATATATGTCAATGATTGAATAAAAAACCCTTTTATTAGGTCAGATCTATTATTATTCCCAGTCTTAATATATACAAAACACTCTTTTTTATTTACAAGCTGCAATGTGATTTTAATTATATATTTTATTCTTAATTATGATATCTTGTAATAACATGCCTATTTTACCTGAATAAATATTATTATTATTATCATTGGGGTCATTAGAAAAAATTACCGGAAATATGAAATGAAATATGAAATTCAATTTGTACCTTGGCATTAAAATAATTTAACCATGCACAGCACTTCAATGTTTAGAGGGATCTACATGTATATTATGAGAAAGTTTTTCTTTTTGTAAGCATGTGTAACACTTGTCTTTTCTAAGTCATTCATCACACATCTGATATATATATGAAATGTTTCTGAGGAAAAATTTGGCTGTGAAAAAAACAAAATGATGGATGACGTAATACATGTACAAGGAACAGTTATACATATGTGGTAATATGTAGCAGTGGATGACAAACATTGGCATGAAATGACTTTCTAAGTACATGTTCATGTATAAAACACAGAAGAATTAAATTTTTAGATTCTCATCTTTGACATAAAAGATGAAAATTATTTGTGCTCAATATAAGGTGTATTGGTAGGTTATTAGGCATTTTCAGACTTATTGAACAACAAATGATTATGTTTGGTAAGCCATGGTGATGTAAACCTGATGTCTTCAAACAGTTTATGTCTACATACTTATATAATTATTGTAGAACTGACATATAGAGTGTAAGAATATATCACAGAAACCGTCATATTTATCTAATCTACTGCAATTGTATAATATATATTTGCAGTACACAGAATGAGATGAGAAATGTGATGTGATTGGTACAATACAAACACGAAACGTCTTAAGATAGATATTCAGATACTGTATTTATCATAATTAGCACTTAAACATTGGTAAAAGGGATGATTATTAAGAAAAAACATAGGTTGTGTCAGTCCTATAAGGGGATATATATAACTGTCAGACAAATTGCCGAGGAGAATATTAAAATCATTCTTTCCCACTTGGGATGACTGTACATTTAGTGTCTGATATAAAATGCAGACATAATACTCTATTTTATTAACCGAAAATGGTCAGAATGGAGGATATTTTGGAAAGAGGGTGCTCATGTCATTTCAGCAAATTAAGTGACTGAAAGAGTACAGTAGAAATGGCTTGACCCTAAAAATTAAGGGCATGTCTCGGATAAACACAGCTAGCGGATTCATCCTGCACAACACATCTACATATATATATTTATAAACTACATTTTTAATACATTTCTTTGAGAAGAATGATTGTTTTTTTCAAAAAAGTGATTTCCCCAGATTTGGGACTTGTGAAAACCATGGTTACCACATCAAAAAACACCAAAATATCATGATTTTTTACCCAAAATTTGACCCCCGGAAGTAGATTTTTTCTTTCTTTAAACCGGTCTTAAATTAAATATCGCCTATTCGTCAACAGAAATATTCAAGTTTTAGCATAGGTCATTCCGGTGGATTTTCCACAATATTTACACATGTGCTGAGTACAAAAATAGACTACATGAAAAGCTAGCTTTTGTTGTGTAGACACAGATTTGGAAATGCCCAAAACTGTAGTCTCAAACCAAATTCAATTTTTTTTTTGAAAAATTATGAAGCGCACATAGTCCACTTCATCATGTATATGCCAATTTTAGTGCTGATTTTTTTTATTGAAATTTTGATACATGTTATATTACAGGGGTTATTCATTGTATAAAAATATCACCCATGGCCACCGTACGCTACTGTACTCTGCTACCAAAAAGGGGAGGGCTGCTTATTTATCAATTGTAAACATTTCAATCAGTACTTAAGTTGTCCAAGTGCTTAACAAACTGACTAGTTGTAGCATTTTGTATACACTAGTATCACAACCTATTTAACCTATTTTTTTCCCAATGAAGAATGTAGTAACAAAGATTTGATCCCTATATGGTCAGAACTGGTAATTTTAAAAGCACAGAAGCTAATGATGTTTTCCCTTTTTCAGAATGTTGATACCAGTACAGACAATTCATGAAGAAGTGCCAGACATTTTCAACATGCGTGATGACAAAGGCCACACGCCTGCCCACTGGGCATGTCTGGGTGGGCATTCCACAGTTCTCCGATACATGATTGAGAGCAAGGCAAATGTCAACGAGCCTAGTGACAATGACTTGGGCGCAAGGCCCGTACATTGGGCATGTGTGAATGGACATATTGCTATTGTGGACATCCTGTTACAGTCCGGTGTGTCATATGATGTAGCCGACAACAAAGGCTGTACGCCCCTCATAGTGGGTGCACAGTATGGTCACACAATGATGGCTGGGTACCTGATGGGAAAGGGTGCACGACTGCAGATATGTGACAAAGACGGCGACAATGCACTTCACTGGGCAGCTTTTAAAGGTAGGTGTGCGACTTGTGAGAACACAGTTGTCTGGAGAGCTATCATGATCAGATTGTTTACTGGATTATATCATTTACACCTTTTAGTTAAAATCCAAATGCTCTGTTGTCATCCTTTTTTTTTTTACTGTCACCGGTGTTCACTGTTGTAATATCCTATTAAGCTAAAGACAGAAAGTCTAGGTGTTTGATTCACAGTTGCTAATTATATAAATACTCTCTGGAATAATCTCCGATAAGACCTCTATGCTCTGTTGACTGTGGTCAGAGTAACTAATTTGTGGTATTAACACATTCAATACATTCTAAGACTAGTGAAGTTTTTCTTCTTTTTTAAACCATGTCTTTTATTACATTGTTTTTTATAGGTCACTCAGAATTGATGCGTCTTTTGATTTACTCGGGTTTCAATCCACGTCAGCGAGATGTTTATGGTCAGACACCCCTACACTTGGCATGTATAAGTGGCAATATAACATCTGTACAGGAACTGTGTGAACAGGTAACCCATACTGTCAGCCTTTCAATGTCTCCATGCATGGTGGAAAACCGATGTGTCAAAATCAATCGAAAAAATTACCATGACAATGTCCAACTGGGTTTAACAGCCTTAATCCAAATGTTACCGATAGTTTTGACACATCAGATGTCTCGTAATCAGAACAAATATGAATACAGACAGAAAGTTGGAAACGTGTTAAAATGTAAAAATGTCTTATATGTCTTATAAGCACTTCTAATGATCCCATTTGAAAAATTTCATTGTTATGAAATTAAATAAGATATCCTATGTGATGAATTAAATTAATTTGGTCAAAATGAAAATCAAGGGTGAAAAATCAGGAGTCTCTCTCCAAAAAAGGCAGCTGCAGTAAGTTACTGTTGGTAACTTTGTGTACTGGTATCTTCATAATAAATGTATGAAAAACCTAATAAATGTTTTAAATTATTTAAAAAAATTAGACTTGTGAAGATCTGATCCGGGGCAGAAATCCAGACCAGAACATGTTTGGAAGAAAAGTACATTCCTACTAGTTTAAGCCTGACTTTTTAATTAAATGTATTTTTTGTTATCTATGTGTAGGATGGTGTGGAGGTAGATGTAGCAGATAAAAACGGAAAGACTCCCATGTCCCTGGCTACTGGAAGAAAACATGACGCTGTTGTCGATTACCTCAAACGCCAAATTAAACAGAAGAAAAGTTTATTACCAAAAATTGATTTGTTGTAAGTATATATACAAGTATCAACAGATTTGTTATTTTTGCTACAGTTTTTGCAGTGTATAAACATAATATCAGTATTGTTATCTGTGTCTAGTGACATCAGCAACACTATGTTACATAAAATGAAGTACTGATTTTGAGCCGATAAGACTAGCTATGATGCTATTTGAAGAATTGAAACATTAACTACATGTCTTTTCAAAATTTGATTAAGCATAAGTGAAAATTTACCTTACATTTCACTTGATATATTATGTACTTTTATTTTAAAAGTGTAATACTTAAAGAATCAAATTTTCTGTGCAGATATGATTGAAGCATGCAGCATTAATTGCATCAGTAGCTGAAGTTCTTATACCTTTTTTGAACTTAAGTGAAATAACACTTGGTCCATTCCAAGTATAAGTCTGAATATTCAAACTTATCCAGACTCATTTCTCCCTTTTAGGAATGGTTTAAACATTTACAGTAAAAGCTAATTGTAGATAATTCTGAATTATTTGTTTTGTGTTTTGTAGAACTATTGCCTTTGGTCCCCCTGGAAACAGTAAAGGAGCTATTTTGTTTTTCATGATAAATGTTCTGTGTTGGGGCTACCCTATGTATGTTCTCAAGGTTAGTATGGCAGTTTGTAACTGTATATAACATCGCTAGACAACTTGTAGACCTAATGGTTTACATCACTCATTGTGATAATACATAAACATATCTCCATGTCATAATCTATGGATCGGAAAATGTTCACGGTACATTGCAAAAATTGGAGTGAATCTTGTGAAGAGTGTAAATTTTAAACCATTGAAAAAGTTATTTTATGAAACTTTAACAATATATATACCTGCATCACCTAAGAGGGTTGGCAATGGACTGTATTGAGGTCAACAGGACATTCACATCTAGTTCTATTCACTTGTCAAATAATGACTGACAAAGCAAATACATATAATGGCTGATAAGGGGAGACAATGTTCATGTTCACAAAAACAGATCTCTAGCTATTTCTTTCTTTTAGAGGGTATCACAAAAAAATAAAAAAATATATCAATATATAAACAAGTGTGAAGAACAAAGTCATGTGTTACAGTATGGGGGGAAATGCTCCCTTCTGGTGAATATAAGTAATTTTTATTTCCTCATTTTACTAAACAAAGTAATCATGAATATATTAAAAGATATTTGTTAGCAAATTATTGCATTATCTTAAGAACATTAAATGTGATTTTTACATGTTTATAGCAAACTCCAAGGTACCTAAAGAAACTGCTTCAATCTAGTCAAACTTTGTTATAGAAATGAAATATTAGAAAATTTGACAGGAAACAGATGTGACTTCATTGTAACCAGACATTCACAGCTTACTATAAGTATCTAAACCTTTTTATTATAGACATCTTATTTCTGGTGAAGAAAATTAAAACAGTGGTAGCTGACAGTCATGCAACTGCTTTATCCATTACCGTTTCATTTCAGTGTTTACCGTATACCTGGAATGAACTTCAGATTCTTCACATCTTATTCTTCATCTTCAATGTCCTCATGTGGTTTTGCCTATTTCACGCCAGTACCACAGATCCAGGATATTTACCAAGAAATATACCAGAATATGATTTGGCAATAAAACAGGTACTGTAATTATAAACAACATTTTCTTTTGTTTTGTGAGATTTATATTTTATTATCGAGTTGTGAGAAAATTTTATTATAAATTACTGTTATAACCAAATGTAGGATGAGTCATTGACTCAATTTTGTCAGGAAGTATAAATAAAGACAAATATCACTATACTCAGGAAGTATAGTGATATTAGTCTATAGTGATATTATACTTCCTGGGTATAGTGATATTAGTCTTTATTCATACTCAGGAAGTATGAATAAAGACTAATATCACTATACTCAGGAAGTATAATATCACTATAGACTAATATCACTATACTCAGGAAGTATAAATAAAGACAAATATCACTATACTCAGGAAGTATAAATAAAGACTAATATCACTATACTCAGAAAGTATAAATAAAGACTAATATCACTATACTCAGGAAGTATAAATAAAGACTAATATCACTATACTCAGGAAGTATAAATAAAGACTAATATCACTATACTCAGGAAGTATAAATAAAGACTAATATCACTATACTCAGGAAGTATAAATAAAGACTAATATCACTATACTCAGGAAGTATAAATAAAGACTAATATCACTATACTCAGGAAGTATAAATAAAGACTAATATCACTATACTCAGGAAGTATAAATAAAGACTAATATCACTATACTCAGGAAGTATAAATAAAGACTAATATCACTATACTCAGGAAGTATAAATAAAGACTAATATCACTATACTCAGGAAGTATAAATAAAGACTAATATCACTATACTCAGGAAGTATAAATAAAGACTAATATCACTATACTCAGGAAGTATAAATAAAGACTAATATCACTATACTCAGGAAGTATAAATAAAGACTAATATCACTATACTCAGGAAGTATAAATAAAGACTAATATCACTATACTCAGGAAGTATAAATAAAGACTAATATCACTATACTCAGGAAGTATAAATAAAGACTAATATCACTATACTCAGGAAGTATAAATAAAGACTAATATCACTATACTCAGGAAGTATAAATAAAGACTAATATCACTATACTCAGGAAGTATAAATAAAGACTAATATCACTATACTCAGGAAGTATAAATAAAGACTAATATCACTATACTCAGGAAGTATAAATAAAGACTAATATCACTATACTCAGGAAGTATAAATAAAGACTAATATCACTATACTCAGGAAGTATAAATAAAGACTAATATCACTATACTCAGGAAGTATAAATAAAGACTAATATCACTATACTCAGGAAGTATAAATAAAGACTAATATCACTATACTCAGGAAGTATAAATAAAGACTAATATCACTATACTCAGGAAGTATAAATAAAGACTAATATCACTATACTCAGGAAGTATAAATAAAGACTAATATCACTATACTCAGGAAGTATAAATAAAGACTAATATCACTATACTCAGGAAGTATAAATAAAGACTAATATCACTATACTCAGGAAGTATAAATAAAGACTAATATTACTATACTCAGGAAGTATTGTGCACTCATAGAACTGTACATACATAAAGGGAAAACATCTTTTTACAGTATATAGAGTCTGTATGACAGTGATACCTTACCTGTGGATGTGTATACCTTTGTATTGTTTAACCAAAGTATAATGAGTAATAGGGTAAATTCACATTAAAATTGTCATTAATACAATCGTTTAATAACAGGTTGCTCATTTTGATGAGTGGAAGCAAGGAGAGAACCCTCTCAGTCGTCTGTGTCACACATGTCGGACAGTCAAGCCTCTTCGGTCTAAGCACTGCCGTATATGTAACCGATGTGTGACCATGTTTGACCACCACTGTCCCTATATATACAACTGTGTGGGATACAAAAACAGGTAGGTCACAACTTGTGGGAATTACCTCCCTGCTTCTGATACCAGCTTGCCAGTTGCACAGTTATTGGGATTTTGTTTTACTTAATTAAAATCGATCTCATATATTGAAGGGCAAAATTGACCTGCAGAAGATTTTGATAAATATATTTCAAGCTTTTGATATTCAAAATAATTACCTATTTTGAGATCAAATTACATTTTACTTCTCTTTGGTAGGTGTTTCAGTGCCTCTGGTTTGTTTAACTCATTAAGATAGACTAAGGGTGGTAGTCTTAAAGCTTGATGTGGGGTGTGTCAGATATCATATAGAAGGTTTACTCTCCGATGGATGTCGCTGTAAGGCTGTATACTATAAATCAGTAATGCTGTTATGTAAACTATTTACATATTCATGATGTACCTCTAGTATTTTGTTAACTTACCCAACACATGTTACCAGATATATGAAAGATTTGTAATATAGGTACCATAAACAAGTTATATTACATAAACTGCCATACTCCCCATTATACACTATTTATGAAGTATGAATTTTACAGAATACATGTAGTTGCACGGTGCTAGGTATCAGTTTTCACCCTTGGGGAGCATGAATTCTGACCCGTATTGTTTTTGGATGTGTTACATTCTCTCTGCATTTGGACTAAATATAGTTTACTCAATACTGATTTACTGTTGCTTGTACACCGTTGTGTACTTGATGCATGTAGCCATATGTCTGGTCAAAGAAAATTTAATCATAGATGCTTGCTGGAAAAACATACTATCATGATAACACAGTAACACGTAATGAATCAATTGTGTTTTCAATAGTCTCCTAGTATAATAGTTGTGAAGTGGACCAACATAAATGGACAATTTTTATTAACTGCAGAGCTTGAAATTTAAAAATGTTTAAAAAAAAACCAAAACATTTTGAATTAATTTCTTAGTACAAATTGTTATTGTGTATTGTAATTCCAGAAAAAAAGACATAAGCATTTTGTACTATTTCTGTTACATTATAAATGGTATCTCCTATTCAAACTGGTTGCACCTTTCTGTATTAGCATGTGTAAGTACTGTCAATCAGCTTAAAATGTGGAAGGTTTTATTTATACTTATCAGGCTGAGTTTAATTGGCTCTCTTGTCAGAAGGAACCCAAAGCCATGTGTTATAGAGATCATCCTATCTTGACTCTTTTTATTGTCTTTCTTTGGCTTTACTTTTCTGTTGCATTTGCAAGAGTGATTCGCAGTTCTGTTAATGTGTGGATTTCCTTTTTATGTATCTACGTCACTGTCTAGGTAGTTATTAACACGCCTGTCTATTCCCCTAAACAAACCTGTCTACTAATATCACTCATTGACTCCTGATAAAATGTGTACAACTTCTCTATAACTGAAATAGTTACATATAAAATCTTAATATATAATAATAAAGTCCTTATAAATGAACAGCTTTTGACCTCCTTCATGTATGTGTTTTCCCTGACAATGAGTACATAAACAACTTGGTAAAAAGGTGGCAAGTATGAGTATGATAAGTTATATATTACATAACTAGGTCATGATCAGTTGTTTCTGCATAATTAGGTCATCATCAGCTATATTTACATAAGTAGGTCATGGTCAATCGTTTCTACTTACAAGGTCATAATCAGCTATATCTACATATTAGAAGGTTGCGATCAAATGTTTATACATAAGGAGGTCATGACGGACTATTTACATAACTAGGTCATGCTTTGTTGTTTAACTAGGTCATAATCACTTGTAACGATGTAAATAATTCGGTTGTCATAAGTTGTTACGTACCTACACACTTAGGTCTTTATTAGCTGTATTATTGTCAATAAGTAGGTCATCATCACTTGTATCTACAATGATACATAACTAGGTCATCATCACTTGTATCTACCATGGTACATAACTAGGTCATTATAAGCTGTAAGGATATTTAAACAATGTAATTGATGCTATATTGGTATGCTATATAAATTGCATATTTTATTTTTGACATTTGCCATCGTGTATGGTAAAAGGTTCAGCTGTTTTCAGTGGCTGTAAAAATGATAAATTATAATAATTACATACTTATTCTTTATAATGTATGACATACCTGGCATGGATAAGAACAGAACAATAGTGTGTCAAAAAATATTTGGAAAATAGGGCTTTAGAAACAAGATATAAATTTCAGGCTATTCATACATGTACAGTAATTGGTTTGAAAATGCCTGACTGTTTCTTTTACGAAAGCTAGGGATGCATGAATAAATTGGGTCAACTATTTTCCGCAACATTTTGCACAGCCAAATATTGTTCCACTGACCTTTAACACAAATTAACCCTCCCCATCCTCAATATATATAACCCATTTACATTGCTAGCAATGTCACCACTAACCTGCTTAAGTCATCAGTCTAATGTATTCTGTACAAATTGCATTGTTTCTGATCTTCGTCTTATCATTTATTACTTTTGTGCTTTATCAGAGATTGTACATATCCAAAACTTGCTGAAGATAAAAAGAATTGAAAAAGAAATCCAAATCATCATTTTTCAATGGCTTTAATTTAAAGAAATATAATGGAGATACAGGATTATGCTACTGTGTTTTGGGAATGGTGCCAGTACATCATATTTTTACAGTTGAAAGGTTCTGTCACCAGTCAAACTCAATTTGTGAAAATACAATCTTGATATACCTCTGCAAATCTCACAACACAGTAGGATTTGACCGTAACTAATTCTTCTTTAATTTTGTATTATACTCAGAATCCCCACCATTTGATTAATATACCTTAGAAAGTGTCTGAACTAATTCCATACATAATCTAGCTGATCTACTTATACCTATTATAACAACCTATACAGTAGAGCTTCGATGATACAGACACCTGTTTCATTCTTGGCAGTACAAGTGAGTGGCTTGTGACACAACCGGGGCAATTCTGCAAAGAAAATGAAAAATCTGTTCTCTAAATAGTAGCTAATTACTTTGGGACAATTTGATAAGTAGTGGCTGATGAATTAAAGAGGATTGTCAGTGGATGAATTACAAGAAATATTGGTGATTGCATTAAGAGCATGAGAGGAGAACACATTAGTGAGTGTAAACGGAGACTGAGTTAATGAGCATGATAAATAGTTGGATTAACTAGCAGTAGAGGTGGTTGTATTAACTAGCAGTAGAGGTGGTTGTATTAACTAGCAGTAGAGGTGGTTGTATTAACTAGCAGTTGAAGTGGTTGTATTAACTAGCAGTAGAGGTGGTTGTATTAACTAGCAGTAGAGGTGGTTGTATTAACTAGCAGTAGAGGTGGTTGTATTAACTAGCAATAGAAGTGGTTGTATTATAACTAGCAGTAGAGGTGGTTGGATGAACTAGCAGTTGAGGTGGTTGGATTAACTAGCAGTACAGGTGGTTGGATAAACTAGCAGTAGAGGTGGTTTGATGAACTAGCAGTAGAGGTGGTTGGATTAACTAGCAGAAGATATCGCTAGATTAACAAGCAGTAGAGGTGGTTGGATTAACTAGCAGTAGAGGTGGTTGGGTTAACTAGCAGTACAGGTGGTTGGATTAACTAGCAGTACAGGTGGTTGGGTTAACTAGCAGTACAGGTGGTTGGATTAACTAGCAGTAGAGGTGGCTGGATTAACAAGCAGTAGAGGTGGTTGGCTTAACTAGCATTACAAGTGGATAGATTAACTAGCATGGAGGTGACTGGATTAACTAGCAGTACAGATATCTACATTAAAAGCATTAAAAGTAGCTAGATTAACTAGCAGTAGAGTTGATTGGATTAACAAGCAGTAGACTATAATATCAAAATGTTAAGCAGTAGACTAGATTGACTAGCATTAGAGATGGTAAGATTAGCTACCATTAGAGGTAGTTGGATGAACTTGCTTTGTAGATGGTTGTATTAAATAGCTTGTAGATGGCTGAATTAAATAGTATAAGAGGTGAATTAACAAGCATTAGAGGTGGCTAGATTTACTAGCATTAGAAGGTGGTTGGAATACAGTACATCTATATGCCTGTACTGTTTTCAGAATATTTTTCATAGCATTGTTCTTTTCATGGTGCAGACTTTGTAAAGTCAATTTAACTGTGAATATTTGTTATTTATTAACATCTCCCAAGGCTCTCTTGAAATTACAACTTCAACACTGTATGGCATTTCTTTTTCATGTGAATGCCAAAGTCACACTGCATAACAACAGGGGTGTACAATTTTGTATGTAATAGTACTAACCCACAGCCAAATACTCATTTATTCTAATGACCTGGGCCCACTTGTATAAAACATCCCAACTCTTGAGATTTCCTCAAGTCTAAGATTTCCCATAGACAATACATTGCTTGAGATTTTCCTTAACTTTGAGATGTTTTATACAAGTTGGCCCTGACCTACATTTTCATTGTAAATAGTGAACATTTTATAGGCTTATAAAATCTACTAGAAACAGAACATTTGGCTGATGGTATTGTACCCCCCTGAACATCAATTGATAACCTGTGTGTACATCTTTGTCTTTGTAGGCCATGGTTTTTCGCATTTGTGATCACTATATTAGTTTTGGCCATCTTCACGAATTACTTCTGTTACTTCCTGCTGCGGGACTTTGGCTGGGACTGGGTTGTGGTCATTGGTGCTGTGGAGGCGGGGGTGGGTCTCACAGCTGTCACCGCGGTCTCCATTCTAATGGTAAGGCAGCAGGTTGTGCTATAGTCCTATGGCTGTAGTGGCAGTAATCATGAAGTCTTTTTTCCCATTTCTTTAATATTTTTTTTATGCAAATATTTCCATATCAGAAGCTGAATTTGCAAATATTTGCACACATTATGACTTGTTACAGTGTGATATAAAGAATGTGAATTCTGTGTTTGTTTGAAATGCTGAATTACTTCAATATACCACACTTAATCAACAGCATATGTTAAATCAGAAAGGGCAACCAAGGTTTAAGGTTTACACTGTTAGTTTGTGTGAAAATAATGGCAGAGATTCCCATTGGGACCTTTTTTTCAGAGTTTCATTTATAGGGTATGTGCTTAACGTGACAATGTGTGGTACGATGAGTATATTCTTCTCCTGGTACTATGTGCACTACCACGAGGAATGGAACAAGCTCTACATTTTTTACTTTGGAATCATGCTGCTATTTGAAACCATTGGACTATGGGTCGGCTCATTCACTGTAAGTACTCACTTATTACCGTAACTGTAAGATATATATTTCTCAAGACTACATTTTAAGAGACAATAGTGAATTCAAAAAAGTAGACAATTGTGAATTCAAAAAAGTTGCAAATATTTATACAGACACAATAGAACAAGAAACACATATTGGTCATTGTACCTTAGCTATAACGAATCTTTCCTTGTGAATGCTTTATATTTTTTTATCATTTGTTCAACAAATCTTTTTTGAGATACTTAGCTGTTTCTTAGATTGTGGAAAGATTCATGTAGCACAACCAATAAGTGTTTTTATGTGACCTTTTGATGACTAGTACGATATGTACTCTGTCACCTTCATCAGACAAATGACCAGTGAAGCATATGTACACAAAGGTGTAAAACGCAAATCAATATAGATTCGGCTACACTGTAAGTATGATGTACAATAAGTTGTTATATATATGTACCGAAATGCTTTGATTCGCCTACGCTTTGTTTAATACTTGGTCATAGATGTGCGAGAGTCTATGAGCCCCCTCATTTTGATTTAGAACTGGCCACTGCGGCGTATCCAGATAGTTTCCTTTATCTGCCACTTTAAGTGATGTCTCTCTAATTTTGAGTTATTCCAGTCAATCACATGTGATATTTTACACCTTTGTGTACATATGCTTCACTGGTCATTTGTACATACCATACTAGTCATTGAAATGTCACATATAAACACTTATTGGTTGTGCTACAGAAATCTTTTCACAATCCATATTTACCAAACTAAAGAAAATGTTTAGAAAGGTTGTTAAATTTAAGTGAATAAACCTCTTTGTCAACAAAAAATGTGATTTTTTGAATTGTCTGATCAGCAGAACTATGTCAATGTGATAGATTTCTTTACTATCATTCTGTTACAGTTGTACAATGCTGCATTGAACATTACCACAAATGAAAGGTTACGACATCATCGCTACAAACACATGCAGGATAAGGATGGAAAGCTGATTTACCCCTTCAACCGTGGTCTACTTCTTAATATGTTGGACTACTTTCATATAAAACCCATTCCATCGGACTCCACAGAAGATGACATTGAGATCAGATATATATAATGGTGGTTAGAACAGATCGGGCTACTTTTATGGCCATGGTATTCCTACCCTATGTTGCCTTTTCTAGTTTACCTTCCAATGATATGCAAATCTATGAAAATTCTGCCAGTATTTTCTCCCATTTGGTATAAACATCTAAATGACAGATTTCTTCTGTGCTAACTCTTCCCATTAATACTTATGCAGTGCAGTACATGAATATAGTTTGCCATGTCTGCTATTTACATCTAGTATGTATGCATGCAGAGCAGGTTTGAAAAACATAATAATAAATGTAAATAGACATGTACAAAAACAGATTTTTACATGGAGTTTTCAGAATGCAACCCTTTTCTGTTCATTTTAAACTGAAACAAACCTTTTAAAGTATCAATAACTTTTTTATAAAAAGTGTTCTCTGCGTGTGTAGACATGCTTACAGCTATGAGAATTTAGCTATGGAATACAGAAGGAATCTGCCTGATGAAGTTTTGCCTTTGAATGGATGAAAGTAGAAGGTTTGAATTTTCACACCAGAGTTACTTTAAGAGTTCAACTATTTCCCTTTTCAATTCCAAGATGTAAAATCATCTGGGCTGTTTAGCATCAGGATTGTTATATCTGAACTTCTACTTTGAAGTTAATAAACTTCAATTTTTACAAATCTTTCAAAATATAATTTTAAACTTTTTTACACTGTTTCCAGAAAACTATTTATGATGTTCTGTTTTGTTAACATCATGACATTGCTGTGGTAACATGTTTACAATTACTTTTGATATTTCATAAAGCTGAAAAGTATTTAAAAAAATCTATTTCATATTTTGTGTTGATGCCAATACTGTTATTATAGACTATCTTCTGACTTTCAGACTTATCACGCTGCTGCCAACATTACGGCTAACGAGCGAGTGAACTATAAGCGGTACCTATACCTTAAGGATGGAAAGGGGGCGTTTCACAATCCTTTTAATAGAGGATTCGTTGAAAACCTCAAAGAATTCTTCTTTTTACGAAAACTTTTAACTGAACGTGATGTAGAAATTCTTCACGTATGATGCGAGTGTAAACAGATCTGTGGTAAAGACTGATTGTATGTGTTTTACTGAAATTGCCAAACAGCTGTGTTCATCAGGTTATAGACGGTGTACTGTAAAATCCTCTTCACATCGACTTCACTCCCTTCCTTCACTCAAAGCATTTTAAATGGATTTCACACTCCACTTGTAACAAATATGATGCATTCATTTAGAAAAATAAATGATTTCTGTTTTTGATAAGTTTTTGAGATTATTGCAGGAAGTAACTTTATTTGCTTTAAATGACTTAATTCTACAGTAATATGTTCCCTTGTTAGTATTTTCTCATACAAAGTAGTACTTATTAAAATGAAATGCATCGTAATCGACTTTTTCATCACAAACATATCTTTTATAATGATGCATTTTTCTAGTATGAATCTTTTCCTCATCTTAGGTCTACATGTATCGAGGGTGCATTGTCTTGGCTGATCTTTTATTTTATATCTGTCCTTGTTGTGTTTGAAGTTGAGGGTTCTGAATCATGAAACATCTTAAAGATCATGTACATGTATAAAATTCAAATAGTCTATATTTGGGGATCATGGACAATACACCAAGCCTGAACAGCTTTCTGATATGTTACTCCTCCAATGTGTCAACACCTTGGGGTGTCATATCAGTACAGAATTGAATTACATAGATTATAATGGTTTATCAAGAAAACATGATAATAACCGGAAAGTGACATTAAGCAATGTGATATTAAGTGAAATGTACTGTATGAACAATCATGTAACCCGGTATTATTTTTATCAAAATTATCATGATGTAGAGTCATTAATTTTATTTTTATTTTCGAGTATCCATATCATTTAATTCAGTTACTGATTACTGTGGGAGAGATTTTTGTATTTGATAATTAATTGATTTCAATATGACTATCATACGATGTGCCATGGATTTATGGAATGTGTTCAACTGTAATATTTCAGTAAAGAGCAAGACTGATTTATCAGAATGAGCAGCATTGATAATGAAGGAGGGTGTTACTAGGTGTTTCTGATGAATGAACACACATTTAAAATAGAATATTCATAGAAGTAGATACATGGTAGTAATTTATTTCTTTTACACTGTTTTAGAAAAGTATAGCACCTTTAAGAAAAAGATAGTGTGATGGGAGTTATTTCCATAAACACAGATAGATGTGTTTTCTGGTTGCTACTTAATGCATTTTCATTACCAAATCAGAAACAGATTATAAAAACCTGAACCTGATTTAAACAAAATTAAAGTTTCAAATTGCCCTCTTAGGACAGTTTCTGATAGTGCATGACTGATGATCTGTAGTTAACCCTGTCACCCCTGTAGAGCATAATGGACTCATCCAGATCAATGAATGGCAGAACTTTCTGAAGTTACATAGGAAGGAATAGGTTAAATATGTTGATATTTTGCAAACAGAACACCTACACAGTTATATTACACATGTTGACCTCCTTATCTCAGGAGAGTACCTGGATGTTATTAAGCATGATATGGCTGTCTATTAGTTAACGTGCTATTATGGAACTCCTGGAATAAATTGAGAACAAATTCTTAAACATACAGAACATTTCTACATTATTATATCATGTTATTAATGACCTCAGCTGTTAATAGGACGCTAAACTCTGTAAAACCAAACTAAACAATATATATACCAATCTGTTCTATAGAATGATATTTATGTCTTATTGTTGGTATACTACTTAGCTCAATTTTATGTGCTCAATGCACATTTGCTGTTTACTTTTTGAAGTACAATGTAAGTACCCTTCAAAAAGGGTATGAAAATGTATTAAAAAAAATCATCTGCAGGTGACTATTGATTTCTCAACTTCAGGTCTGTATTTCTGTATCATTTTTTTCTGGATTATGCAAACCTATCTTTGTTGTTGACTTAGATCAAATACAATATACTTGGTACTCTTCCTTTTTCAATAATGCTCAATTTTCTGTGTGTTTATTAAGCCAGTAACATTTTTGTGTATTTATGGACAACTATTAAGTAGATTGGTTATGTTACATCCAGGACATCTTTCAGCAATGTAGAGATGAAAACTTTACAAATGTTTTCTTATAATGATCGATTCATAAATATACATTTGTTAATTATTCAATAGAAAAAAAAATGTTTTTGATTCTTTGTCTATCAGACTGTTATTCTATATTTCCCATTTTTCTATAATGAATGTTGAAATAATCATGCTTACAGGGTGTACAGTATTGTGACATTTACAATCAGATGTGATATATAATTATCAGATTTAAATCACATTGTTGGACATTAATCGTATAGTACTGTAGAGATTATATCATGCCGACTTCAGTTGTAATCATATTTGCTGTGTTTTTATACATTTTTAGGTCACCTGAGCTTTAGCTCAAGTGACCTATTGCTATCCGTTTTCGTCCGTCGTCGTCCGTCGTCCGTCGTCCGTCGTACGTCGTACGTCGTCCGTCGTCCGTCGTCCGTCGTCCGTCGTCCGTTAACATTTTACATTTCAAACTTAAAGTCAAGTTCTGCTGGGCCGATTGAACTGAAAGTTGATAGGAATGATCGCCTCATGGTCCTGACAAAGTGTTGTTATTTTTCGGGTCGATCAGAAATCCAATATGGCCGCCACGGCCACCATTTTGAAAACCTATTTCAAACTTAAAGTCAAGTTCTGCTGGACCGATTGAACTGAAAGTTGGTAGGAATGATCGCCTCATGGTCCTGACAAAGTGTTGTTATTTTTTGGGTCGATCAGAAATCCAATATGGCCACCACGGCCGCCATTTTGAAAACCTATTTCAAACTTAAAGTCAAGTTCTGCTGGACCGATTGAACTTAAAGTTTGTAGGAATGATCGACTCATGGTCCTGACAAAGTGTTGTTATTTTTCAGGTCAATCATAAATCCAATATGGCCGCCACGGCCACCATTTTGAAAACATATTTCAAACTTAAAGTCAAGTTCTGCTAGGCCGATTGAACTGAAACTTTGTAGGAATGATTGACTCATGGTCCTGACAAAGTGTTGTTATTTTTCAGGTCGATCAGAAATCCAATATGGCCACCACAGCTGCCATTTTGGTAAACTATTTCAAACTTAAAGTAAAGATCTACTTGGCCGATTGAACTGAAACTTTGTAGGAATGATCGAATCATGGTCCTGACAAAGTGTTGTTATTTTTCGGGTCAATCAGAAATACAATTTGGCTGCCATGGCCGCTATTTTGCTACTAAGTTCTAATAGGCCGATCTCACTTAAAATTGGTCTAGGAATGATCAGCTCATGGTCCTGACAAAGTTAAGTTAACATTATACTATTTTTTACTCAAATTGGTACATATTTCAACAACAAAAATAAATACTATAGACTCAGGTGACCGTTAAGGCCCATGGGCCTCTTGTTGTTGTTGCAATTATCTTGTAACCTAATTCAATTTTGTTTTTTTAGCTCACATATAGTTTTTTGGGGGATTTTTTGCAATAGACAACAGCATTTAAAGAGAATACACACTAGATTCTGACCAGAAACTACAAGAGGATGGTGTGTGTGCCCAATCGCTGAACTGATTTAAAAAAACATCATGATGCCAGATGCACACAGTGAAAATAGAGATTTGTTTTATGATGATTTCAAAGCAGAACTGTATCTGTGCTGTCATTATGTATATAAATATTTGTTATCTTGTTTTTGAGTGTTAAGAGTCTTGTGTAAAAGATTGGCATTCTTTGTGGGAAATTTGTCATTTACAAAATGCAATGTCACACAGGTTTCCTCATGACATCTCCGAGTGTGATTTATATTGTACATAATACTACATTATAAGTCATTTTTACATTTGCATTATATATATATTGAGGTTAAAATATTAACGAGAAGGAGATAGTGTAAATAATTTCAAATATTGTAGTCACGTTCCTGTTTGTAAATCATTTGCATACAAGAATAAGTTATACTGTGTGTTATGGTATTAACATTGTATACCAGTTGGGGTGACTAAGTCTTTCATGGTGTTGTGAAAGATACTATTTTTATTGTTTTATTAAACCGTGTACACGTTAGTACAGCTCGGACAAAAATCTCTGATTATTTGTACAATATTTAATTATATGCACAGCTTCTTTCTTCATTTTAGGTTTTTGTTTTTGTTTTTTTTTAATTTTAAGGTAAAGGGTATAACAAACTTTAACTGATAGTTGTGAAATGTTTGTTTAGGTCTTTTTCAGAAGATGAATTCCATAAAAATTACATGTTCCGATGCATTTTTCAGAAATAATTTTGTTTGAAATTTGATTGCTAGAAAATGGAAATAAAAAGTAAAACAAAAACTGCCTGGGTGGAACAGAGGACCTTTACATTGTAATCCCCACACCTTACCAATGGTCCCACCATGGAATTATAAATACAAGGTATCGGGGTCCCACCATGGAATTATAAATACAAGGTATCGGGGTCCCACCATGGAATTATAAATACAAGGTATCGGGGTCCCACCATGGAATTATAAATACAAGGTATCAGAATGAATGTCCAATTTATGGATTGCAAAGCCTGTTAATAACTTTAAAAGTACCGTTACTCTAAGCCAGAAAAAAATGTGTTTGCCTTATTTTCTAAATAGAAGGGAGACTACTCCGTCTTAGCCATGTTGGTACCCTTTACCTTAAGAATTAATTACTTATCAAGGTTCATTTTACGTGGTATTTAATGTACTTAAACTTCAAACCATTTTTAATTTTGGTTGATTATAAGAAAAAGATAATATCTGACTTTTTCATACATGAAAAGTTAGATTGTTCAAGTAATTCTATTCGGCCTGTTGTATAACTTTATTAGTGTTAAGACTGGCATTATGTTAATCATGTATTGAACAACGTATTCCAATAATGTTTATATTCTTTAGATGTGTTGACTTATATACATTTGTTTACTGGTGCATCTTTTCTTATTAGATGGTGCCACAGTGTATTTAAATATCAATTATTTTTATTTGTGGCTTGATGCCATTATAGAGACTAAATGATATTCTTGTTTGACTGCGAATGTTAAATATTTTCGCTGAATTATGCATTAAACAAAAGCAATTCACATTAATAACTTCATAACCACTTGACCTGTTCAGTGCTGTCACAACAGAAGGCAGCTAAGCCTTGAATAGAGGTCAGTTTATTACTCTTCAGATTACTGCTTGTCACCACACATTTCATATTACATTGGGATACATATTTCAATATAGACAAAGATTGCATTTGCAATTTGAATTGGGCACCAATAAATGATGCTGACATAGATTATATTTGCAATATGAATTTTGCACTGATAAGTTGCTGTGTTAACAAACAGACAAAAGTAACAAACAGAATTTTGGCAGCTCATAGTCATAATGATTTATCTTGCCTCATTTCATCATCCTTATTTTAAGTATGAAATGAACATAAACTGTCTCAAAAAACACCAAAAAAATAAGTGAATGTTTTGTGGGATTGAAAAGTTGTTAAGCTACAATAGTTATTTTCTGTGTTCTTTTTTACTCATCACTTTTACCAAGCCGCAGAGAAATCATGTAAATATTATAAATATGTCCCTATTCCACTTTATCTCATATAAACACACCTTCTGGCCTTTATTCGATGTACATTTAACTTAACTCACAAGTCATACTACTTTATACTACTCTTACCATTGAAGGACAGTTTAGGCAGTCTACTCCAATGATCCCTGTCCCACTACCAAATTCTGTAATTATGCTATGGAAACTGTCCTCGGGCATGACTGTAGCTTTGACTTTCGAGACTACCAGCGCTATTGTGAAAAAACAATAAAGACGAAATAAACAAAATATAATCAACAGTACCGTTCTGAATGTGATAAAATCAGCGTGTAAGACTTTTGATTCAAACCTTGGACTGAAGACCTTTTTACTATCACTCTACGCTAGTGAGCTTCTGGTCAACAGAAGTGTCCTGGCACAAATGTGCTATAGTAATATCAAAAGGGAAAGGGATCCCTAAATTGGATTGTGTTTTGTTTCTCTATAAGCAAATATGTATATACAAACAAATATCAAAACACATTCCTCATCTTATGTCTTTGCTAATGAATATATTATTTTACTAGTCTTTACTAGAGATTTTTTTCATTTTTTTTTTTTTTTACAGAACTTTGTATTTTATGATCAGAAACTGGCTGTGTCACTATAGTTAGATTTGCCTGGTGTGAAATAAATCTGGCTGTACCATTATCGTAAGAATTACAAGGTACATGTAAATAATGTACATACCTTTAAGTTACTGTGCTTATTGTCAAAAATGTATACCGGGACTTTGTTTAGATGTTACCCATGTTACTCATCTGAATATGTCTGTAAATTACAAATAAAATGTAAATTGAAGATTGAATGTGATGTTGTATTCTAGATCATCCTCATAACTAGGTTGTATTACAAGTGCAATTTGTCAGTATGCTACCTTCACAGACTGCCTTTTAGATGTTGAAACAAAGTTGACAATGCTTGTTGAGAACCATCAATAAACTTTCCCAAAATCTTATTTCATTATATCAAGAAAGACATCAAGACACGCCTGATAAACGTATTTCTACAAAAAGAGACTCTAATGCAAGCCCTGGTAAACTTATTACTACAGGGAGACTCCAAGACCGGCCTTGGTAACCTGGAGAACAGGAAGTGGCCGTTCTGTTTGTCTATTTACTAACCAGAGTTACCAACCCTCTGTTGTTTGGTATATGAAGTGCCTATCTACTTGTTGGTATACATATAATCTTTCTGCAGTTAATGATTCCTTACATGCATTGTCAACTTTTACATATTTTGGTGACTACATGCGATAGATAAACCTACCTATTTGTTGTGTGATGATCTTCATGTTTTACATTCTCGAGGTGGCTGCTATAAAAGGGTCTTGTTTACGTGTCTGGGTTCTGTGATGATATATTTAAGCATAATCTGTGTTGCTTTCAGAGCAAACAAAATGAAATTGACAGTTTGTCCTTTGATTACAGTAAAACATGCTTATGATGAATGGTCTTATTCCAAATTCTTGTTTATAACAAAGTGTTATTTACGTACTTGGCAAGGAATTGCCTCGTGAATATCAAACTGAATGATAAATGATAGGTTACTTTGTATTCATTTGAAGTCTGTTTTACTGTGTGTCTGCTGGTGTTATTTATAATAATTTATATATCTTGTATATCAGTGTTATATTTTTGTGAATGTATTTAACAGCCATCCCAGTTCTAAGGGATCCTAACTGCTCGCAGCAATTTTCTTTTGAGTTATCTCCATGATTTGCTGTTGATAGCATTTAAGTTTTCATATTTTGACTTGTTTTCTCACTTTACAAAACTTACTTAATATGTTACTTGAACAAAGTGTTTGTAGTCGGGACTAAGATGATGTTGATTTGTTTCCATCTATTATCAAATTTCTGTTGCACTACTTCATTGTACTATCATACCAATAATTATTTTGTTCCTTAGTTTTAACAGTGATTAGGAAAATGTTTTATACATTGTCATAATTTGATGTAGGTAAGTCATATATACTAAAGTATATACATCACATTTTACATTGTCATAACATGATGTAGGTTATCATGATTATACTTTAAGCATTATCACAATTCGATGTAGATGACGGTATACATTGTCACCATTCAACATAATTGAGTGTAATTCATCTGCATATTCTTCTGTGGAAACAAGTTGCCTTTCTAATAAAACAATACAAATTTTGATCATGTCTTTTCTATTATTATACGCTCACAACTAGTCGTGGATGGTATGTAGGGATATTAACACCTATCGTAGCAAGATCTTCACTAGTTCTTACTGCCCATCATGCATAAGGTTTTTACATTTTTGGCTTCTTCTCATGAACCAATGAATGGGTTTCCACCAAACTTGGTAGGGACCATCCTTGGTAGAAGAGAATATCAAATTGTAAAATAAATTTTCTGCTCCATCCCAGAGGGCTGGCACAGGGCCCAAAAGGGGAAATTGCCTAGTATTTGAAAATTCTTCTTCTTCAGACCCAGAGGTCCTGGAATCAAATACTCTTCATAGATGGAAATGTCTTAAAGGTGCTTTATCAAAGTTGTAAATTTCATGACACCTGAGTCATTCATTCCCCCGTGGGGAGGTGGTAAAGTTAACATAAGGGAAATAACACTTGAGTATATAGTTTGTATATTTTCATACAGAATTGATTGTTACTTGGTTGGAATGATCATCCCATTGTAACTTGGTTGTAATGATCATCATGGGATGGCAGTTTGATGGTATTAAAATTAAAACCCTGAGCCCTCCATTGGCCAAAGGGGCGGTGCTCAAAGGGGGGAATTTTGGTAAAATTTCAAAAATCATCTTCAGACCCAAAAGTCCCAGAATCATATCCTCTTAGATGTACATTGTATGGCTATGTCTTAAAATGTTCTATCGAAATTATTAATTTCAAAATCCATCATAACGTTTAATAGAGTTTATAAAGGGAAATAACACTTTTGAGTATATTTCATATATTTTCCTGTTGAATTGATTCAAACGTATTTGGAATGATCATTATGAGATGACAGTTTGATGGTATGAACATTAAATTTTCATTGAACATTTCGCACAAATTTCTTTTTTTTTCTTCTGTTTAATGATTGACTCAGGTGACCACTCCGGCCATTGGGCCTCTTGATTTTTCTCTGTTAGATTGATAGTCTAGACAACAGCGATAGCATTCTTCAATGGTCAAAATCAAGATGTCATCCTGATAACCATCCTTTTTTTGGTAAAACCGAAACAGAAAAAAGAACCAAGAAAGGTCTAAATAGGAACTTCGAGAAAGCTATATGACTTTCCAAGACGGCCGCCTGGCAGTCCAATTCCAAAATCAGAAATTCGAAATTCTAAGGGTTACGTTCACTTATGTTCTCTGCACCCCTGAATTATGTTAGGACACAATCGATGGCTGGCGGTGAGCTATTTGATTAACCTCAGGTAAAAATCAACTGAACAATCGCTAGGCTGATACCTGTTCTTTGGGGATTACATAGGAGCGATTTCTGACTTCAAAGCCGGTCAATGTTATCATTAGGCTGCCGCGTGATTCTTTTGATGTTCATCAAAAGATGAAACAAGTCTGCTAGGTGGTGCTACATTCCTGGGGTCAAACAACGTATGTGAGCGTTACCCATTGGATATCGAGGACTGACCAAGGGAAATCAACTCGTTGAAATTCGAGAAAGCTATCTCCAGTACTTTCTGAGAAATACCGATAACAAACTTCAACCAACAAATGATATTATGGTCGCCATGCAGGTATTTAAATATAGCTGATTTTAGAGGCCGTAAAGTTGATGCTTTCAAAGTTTAAACTGTGCAAAGAGAAACATCGATATAATTATACATCAATATTTATGAACTTTGAAAATATGGAAAATATTGAATTAAACGAAAACGGGATTTTACTCCTTCCAAACTCATCTGTGATCGCCGTCCGGCTATACTCCTATATGTTAGCCCACAGGGAGATTTCGCATGCTATAAAAACTGGTAAAAATATAAATTGGGCGTCAAAGTATATATATATATATAGTATATACTGTTATATATATTGATTTCATTGGAACTTGATATCTATTCATAAAATCTCATTACTAAATGACGAGAACTGATACGCTAATGTAGTCTTCTTCAACGGCTGGATGAACATTCATAGAAACAAAAACAACAAAATACGAAGTGTAGGAGATGACACTTACCTGGGTGTATTATTTCTGTATCTATATACAGTGTGATACACCTATACTGACATCAATAGTTGATGATTAGTGACAATTTGTTTAAATTGGCAGCCCCATGACCTCCCCTTCACCCAGAGTATGAACAGACACGTTTCCTGATCGATGCGGTGATGATTTACCTTTCTAGTACACGCGAACTTTTAAGCCAGAAATAGTGTACCGTTGCATACAGGATTTGACGCACGAATTTAGAAATAACGAGCCTGCGTCAGATATACTAAAGGTTGATATTCATAGGCATGTAAATACCCTGAGGCCTGCTCGCTTGTACTTTTTCCTGTAGTCCAGGAGACATTTATACCGGCCTTGTAATGCCAACTAAAAGTAAAATAATGTTTCAATTGACCAACTGATTACAAAAGGACTATGAAAAACATATGATATTTGTGTCGATTTGACCCATGGTGCCATTTTGACTCCTTGTAAAGTGGCAGTCGTTGGATATGACGCCACAGTCGGATCATATGTTCTGCTCATAGCTTATCTAAGTGAGGCGGGAAGGTTGAAGAGTCAAAGATATTAAGCAAGATTTCTCGCTGGAATTAATATAAACTGGTATAAATAAGTTATATGTCGAACATGTTCTAAATAATGGGTAGACATATATAGCTAAATGAAAACCAAGTTGCCAATAACGCCCTTCGTATCGTTGCAGATACAATGTTTTGCAATCTGATTAAAATCACCTGTTATATTCATGGTACATACGAAATTAACGAATACATGCATGTAGCAGATGGTTTTAGTCAGACTGCAAGTGGTTGCAGCAATGCTATAACAAATCATTTATTTTTAAGCAAGAACTTTATGTAAACGGTGCCGGAATGAATTTCAGCTAGAAGGTTACAGCCAATCGGAGTCCACACCCACTTTGTGACGTAAAACAAGCATTGGAAACACGAAACAAGAAAACACATATTGAGAAATTTAGTAGGCCGATGCAGAAGACCAACAAGACCAACACTACTACACTATATATACCATGCTCCACGTTGCTGAACGTTTAACAACTACCATTTTGCAGGACTTTGGTATGTGCTGGCCTGGGGACAGAACCCTTGCCTTCCTCACCTAGGGGGAATGTTAAACATTACATGAAAAAGGCATTAGGAAACAAAAGTTACATGTAGATAGAAGTAGAAGAAACAAAAGATCACAAACATTACAATGTCGGAGAGAAACTGGATTTCGGTGTTAAAACCGGTGAAACTCTATCATAAATACCCGAAATCCCATACTCAAGGATCCCATACTCAAGGATCTCAAGGATCCCATACTTAAGGATTCCATACTCAAGGATACTCAAGGATCTCATACACAAGGATCCCATACTCAGGGATTCAACTTATTCCATACTCTTTATTCCTATTGTAACATATTTATGAGAACATCATAATACTTCATCTCAGCCACGCTGTATCTAAACACTCATGGTTGTAAAGTTTAAGTTTTGTTTATCCTCCTGAGATTCACTTGATCATTCGAAAAAAGCAAATAAAATAAATAAATAAATAGAATATATGAAGTCTTGTAAAAATAAAATACCAACACAGTCCATCTGAAACCGAATCTTTAATTCCCAATCGTCAGATTTAAAATCTCATATATCCCATCTGAATACAGCTATACAGACAACTCTTCAGTCACATATTTCTTGCAATACAATGTATGGAAGAACACTGTAGCCAATAGAGATGTTGTACATCAAAAAACATTTCATGACAACAGTCGCTAAGCATGACGGGAGAAAATGCATAATAATGCCTTTCTTTGTCACATTTATCATAAGTTCCTCCTCCTCCTCAATCCGGATAAATGATATCTTCTATAAGTAAACATGGTAATATGCCGTTTAACATTGTATACAGACTTGAAAAGAATTTGGTCTTTAGAAAACAAATTAAATGTATTTCACTCATTAGAATGTACTTTTCATGATTAAATTCATACGTTGAAAATAGCCATCGGTATAGCAGTTCGAAAGCTGCAAATCATGGTCGTTTGACTTATTGATCAAGCTCAATGTCACGATGACAAACAAATCACATAGCGAGGATTTGCAGAACGTTATTGCAGACAAATGGTTAATTTGCCACACTCGTTGGCAGCTGATTAATTGTCATGAATTATTCATCCCGTTATGGAATCAATGACTAATTGATCATTATAATCCGTGCCTGGGGTCCGAGGCGGAGTTTGAACTAAATAATGCCATACTTCAACCGTTGACATCAACATACGGATTAGCATTAAATATAATTACATATATATAAATCGTGGATTATTAGCTATACCACCCCATCGGCCGACTATTGTATATTTCCTCTTTCAAACTCAATCTGTTTATACATTTATTAATATTGGGCTCCTGGGTATATTATAGGGTATTCAAATATATGACGATAAGTTTGAAAGGTGGAGCTTATAATTTGTGGGCTGTAACTGAGTCAAATATTTGTGAACTTGCATCTGAATAGACAAATCAACATTATGTTCAAAAGGAACTGAAATCTCACTCGATTTATCAGACTTATTGTTTGCCGACTTTCTACCTTCTGAAGGACCACACCATATCCTTTATTTACACTGTGTGTTGGTAGCTTTCCCATCAGGGTACTGTTTGATAAAGGATATGTGCTCTCAATAGACCTTTATTCATATCAATAATTATTATTTAATTAATCCTTATCGTTATATTTTCAAACATTTTACAGTTATATTAATTTTGAGATTTAATAACTGACTAGCTCAATTAGTTAAGTTGTCTTTATTACTAGATTACAAACATCATTGTTCGCACAATTCGAGCTCATATACCCCGTGGAGTTTCTTAATTAATTTTTAATTAACTGTTACATAACTGTACACTCTAATTATAATGTGTATTCAGGAAAATTGTTAAAAGCTTGACGCGCCCGGGATGATGTCATCTGGAAAAATCCC